AAAACCCCAAAACAAAGCCAAGTCTCAGCCAAATGGTTAAAATTTTCTTCAGCATCCGATCCAGCAAGCCATTGTAGTTGCTGTTGGTATGCGGACACAAGACAACAGAAGTGTCCACTAGATCTAAATCGAGTAAGAGAACACATAGGCTGGTATCCAGGACAGTGCATGCCCTGGAAAGTCCACTTACATGGTTTGGAACAGTTAAATTGCTTAGTAACATCCAAATCAGAACCGATCAAAATAAACGTCTGGTTAAATGGTCACCCAGTTCTAATGGAGGTCAATATCGGCACGGCCATTTCCATGATCACAGAACTAGTCTTTAACAAAATTCACTCTGGACTCCAAACCTTAAGTTTGCGTAAGTCCTCAGCTGGCCTGAGAACCTATACTGGTGAAACTTTACAGATTAAAGGTACAACTTCGGTTCCAGTCTCTTTTGAGAAGCAGCTGGTTCAGTTACCACTGATTGTAGTAAAAGGCTCAAGGCCCAAGCTTGATGGGGCGAAATTGGTTGAGGAAGATTCACCTAGACTGGCTCAACATTTTTCGATTAGAAAATGGCTGCCTGAATGAAGTCCTAATTAAGTACCCGGATGTTTTTTCAGGAAGGTCTAGGAGCCAAGGCCACCTTGCATGTTGACCTGGAAGCAATTCCACGATTCTGCGAGGCCCACCCAGTGCCACTTACCTTTTGGGCAAAATCAGGAGGCTGGAAAGTGAAGGAATAATCAAACCAGTCCAGTGCAATTTGAGGAATGGGCAGCACCAGTTGTACCGATTATGAAGCCCAACTGGTCGGTTTGCCTTTGTGGGGATTTTAAACAAATGGCAAAACACTTTGCAGCTGGATAAATGCCCAGTCCCTCGTGTAGAGGATTTATACACAAAGTTGGCAGGGATGCTGTCCTTCACGAAGCTGGACATGAGCCATGCATACTTGCAATTGTAGTTAGATGAGGATTCCCAGAAGTGTGCTACAATTAAAACTCATAAGGGCTTGTACCAACATACGAGACTGTCCTTTGGGGTATTGTCAGCCTGTGCAATTTTTCAGTGGACGATGGAGAACATTTTACTCCAGTTTGCCATTTACCTAGATGGCGTGCTAATAACAGGGAGGACCAATAAAGAGCATTGACAGAACTTGGACATAGTTGTTAGACGTTTCTCCCAGGCAGGCATGTGCCTTAGAACGGAGAAATGTATGTTCCAAACACCCCAAATGACCTACTTGGGCTACAGAGCCAACAAGACCAGGTTACATCCATTGGAAGATAAAGTGAGGGCGATCAAAGATGCCCTGGCTTCCATGTCTGTATTGGAGCCTAGATTTTTCCTTGGGCTGGTGAAATTATTAAGGAAAGTTCATAACTAATCTGGCCTCTATCCTGGCATCTTTGCATCAATTCTTAAAAAGAAAGCGGAGCCAAGCCACAGCTTTCAGGGAAGTGAAGAAACAGCAATCATCCCCTAAGGTGTTGGCATACTATGATCCCAAGTGAGATCTGGTATTAGGTCATGGGTAGCCCAATGGAGAGGAATGGCCCAATAGTGTATGCATCTAGGCATTTGGCTAATACAGAGCATAAATACACCCAGGTGAATAAGGAAGGTTTGGTGGTCATATTTGGAGTCAGGAAGTTCCACAATACCTCTATGGACCTAAATTTGTAATAATAATGGATCACGAACTGCTGCTAAGATTACTTAAAGAGAACAAGGCAATGCCACCCGTAGCCTCAGGCCAAATTCAGGTGGGCTCTAATACTAAGTGCTTATAACCAGAAGTTGGAACACTATCCGGGAGGCCAAGTAGCAAATGCTGATGCATTAAGCTGCTTCCCACTGGTACCGCCACTGCATCCATTAGATTTTAGGCTGTGAATGATATTAGAGTATTTATTTCTTTTGCTCCCATTAGAAAATATGATATTACTAAAGGGGTGATTTTATTGGTACTTGGCGCACTCAGAGTACAATACTTTTCCCATGTGTCTTGAGAGTATTGACTGATTACTTCCTAGTTGCTGTGAGGCCTACACTAGGGATTTTCATGATACACTCATTACTGTCTGTCTAACTAGCTTTTTAATATATAAGCATGTCTATAACCTTCTGATAATTATCTCCGGGAAGTTCAGTCCTTGCTTGTTTGGTGTTTCTTGCTTCCACTTCTTCGACCACATTAATTATCGTGGATGGTCTGGTTCATTGATTATATGACTGGAGCCATGTTAACGATCAAGTTAAAAGCGGGTTGTGGTCTGCTCAATTGATACAGGCGGAAGGTCTGCTTTGTGTGTAGCAAAGTCAGTTCTGGTTGGGGGTACTCCTGGAGGAGGCATCACCTGCTTTCCCACTTCTACCTGCTAACTTCCACTGACATTGGCCATCTGACATGTCCGTCCGCAAGGTGGCCAATCAGGAAACAGACAGACTCCCAATTATGTTACTGCATCATTCCTGACTATCGGTCACCCAAAGAGTTTGATCACTACTACTTGTCAAAATAGTAACTATTTCACTAAATAACAACTCACTGTTGGTTGTCAGTCTGTGTTGTTTATGGTCTGGAAATTAGCCCAGAGCCTGAACTGAGGCTAAAGGATTGATGGAAATTGATATCTGTGTGTACGAACCTGTGTATGGTAGGAAGTGTTCAGAAAAGGAAATCACATTTTATTTATTGCCGTCTCCAGGATTGCTCACAGCGACGTTCTGGAGATGAACCTTCAGTTATAGCTGACTTCAGGCCCATTCTGAAAGCTTCGCAATCCCAACTTTTGCTGCTGAATCTCCATTGGAAGCATTAGCTAACTTCTGTTTTCTTAGGCAGTCCCTCAGGATTGAGGATGACTTGCTTCCCTTCCAGTTCGATAGCTTTTGAAATGGGTGAGAAGTCCACTCCACGACCTTCAGACTCAGCAGGGTTGGGTAGACGTGTGATTTGGAGGTTTATGCGATCCCTGTAATGGCTCGACTTTTTTTTTTCACTTCTGTTCATTCCCGACCAAGTCTCTTGATGTGTTCGGTTCCTTTCCAAATGATGCCTCTTCATTCCAGTCAGTCACAGCCAAGGTCTCCCATGAGTCGATGTGTATGCTTAACCTCTTCAGGGGTGTCTTAAGAACCTCTCTAAAGTATTTCTACTGTTTTCTGGGCAGTCTCCCAACGTGACTGAGTTCCAGGTAAAGTGGATGCTCTGGGAGTCAGTTGTCAGGCATTCCAGTGATAGTTACCACTCAGTTTAGCTAGTTTTGAGTGATTAGCATCTTGATTAGCATTTCAATTGTATTGCCTTCCTTGACACAGGGCTTGAGGGATCCTACAAAGATGGAACTGCAATGTATTGCGATGCCTGCAGTAGATTGTCTAAGTCTCTCAAGCTTATAGAATCCCTCCTGCCGGGTGAACCATGTCCTTGTCTCAGATTTGAGATGCTTGTTCTCAAATACACTTTACCTCAGTTGGCTGAAGGCTGAACTGGAGCAATGGAAGCTGTGATGAACTTTGCCATCCATGTCTGCCTTCAGAGGTACAGAAAATAGTCTACAGTTTCCAGGATGTGGCTATAGCTTGTTGGATACTACTCTGCGCGAGAATATCATGGATTTAATTCCCACTTGAGCACAAGATCAGAGCTGACACTTCTTCAGTGTCTAAACTCCAAGCACCACTTTAAAACATTATGGAGCAGTGGTTTAAGCAAAGATTTAAGAAGCAGGTTATAAATAAAGGCTGAGTTAATGGATTACTTCAGTTTGTAAATGAGAGCTCAGAAGCACATCCTATCATAGAATCCCTACAGTGTGGAAACAGGCCACTCAGCCCAACAAGTCCACAGCGCCCCTCTGAAGAGCATCCCACCCAGACCCATTCCCCTAATTTCCCATGTCTAACCCATGTAACCTAACCATCCCTGGGCACTACGGGCAATTTAGCATGGCCAATCCACCTAGCCTGCACATTTTTTGGACTGTGGGAGGAAACCAGAGCACCCAGAGGAAACCCACGCAGACACGGAGAGAATGTGCAAACTCCACACAGACAGTCACCCGAGGCTGGAGTCAAACCTGGGTCCCTGATGCTGTGAGGCAGCGGTGGTAACCACTGAGCCACCGTGACACCCTATCTTCCATTTACTTATGGCTAAACTGCACGGTAGTTGACACATGTGCCTAATGCCTAGTTATTGGAGCCAAGGGTTTGCAGAGAAAACTCTTCTACTATTGTGAGTTACTGGTTGTCTGCCTGTAGTATTTATGGCCTGGAAATTGGGCCGGAGCCTAAACTGAGGCTAAAGGATTGATGGAAATTGGTGTTTGTGCGTATGGACCTGTGTATGGGTAGGGAGAAAGAAGACTGCTAGCACAGAAACTGCTTTTGCAACTAAAGATTTTGAGTTCTCACAGCTGGGAAAGCTTTCCCTTCTGCCTAGAGTGGTCTGTTAATAAATTTCTGTTTTACCCTTGCTGCACAAAGCCAACCTGGCATTATGCCAGAGGCGAAGGTGGGTGGTGGATCAATTGTGTTTCTAAGCAGCACTAAAACCAACCCGGTTGGTGGAGTGGAACAGTCCTTGCTAAGTAATGGCCGCACAATGGTTAAGGTATAGAGGGCCCTGGAATTGGGTAGCCATCTCTGGTTGAACAGAATACATTCCCAATCACTTGGATACAAGTGTTGGAGCACTACAGTCCTTTATGGTTGTTCTTCCAAAACATTTTTCCACATTTCGAGGATGGACAATTATCACATCCCCTGTGTGTCAGACCAGGACGGCAGCTGTGTATCTGTTAGAGCTTAGTCAGAGCTCCAAGGCTACGTCAGAGCTCACAATCCAAAATTTCAGCCCCCATCCCCACCTCATTTGGAGTTCTGACCCACTACTTTAGAAGGCCCTTCTGTACTGGACTTCATTGCTTCAATTGTCTGCAGTTGTCTGTTCCCAGCTCTGCAATGATGTTTTCCATAAATATATCTTATTTCTGAAGGAGGAAGAAATCCCGGATCTGGAGATCGACATCGATGAACTGTTAGAAATCTCGGATGAAGACCAGCGTTCAAAACTCCAGGTAACCGCTTTCTGTTCCCATTGCTATTATTCTGGTTCTAAATCAATTTAGAAACCTCCTTTGTTTCAATCATTCTGCACAGAATAGGTCTTCACTGAGATTTAGAAGAATGAGCCAGAACCTCACTGAAAGCTATAAAATTCTAACAGGACTAGTCACCGCAAATGCAGGAAGGATTTTCCTGATGACTGGGGAATCCAGAACCAGGGGCCACAGCCCAAGAATATGGCATAGGCCATCTAGGTCTGAGACTGGGAGAAATGTCTTCACCCAGAGAGAGTGGTGAGGAATTCTCTGCCATGGAAAGTGATTGAGGCCAGTTTTCAAGATGGTGTTAGATATAGATCTTAGAGCTAAGGGGGTCAAAGGGTATGGGAAGAAAGTGGCAACAGGGTACTGAGTTGGATGATCAGCCATGATCATGATGAATGGCAGAACAGACTCAATGGGCCAAATGGCCTACTCCTGCTCCTATTTTCTATGTTTCTAGCCCAAAAAGGCAAATCTAGAAACCTCGGATCCCTGGAACTGATTAAAGAGAGAGTCAGTTTTTTTTTCTCTCTTCTTCTGAAAGCGCTCCTATTTCCTATATTTGTAAGATCCCATTAAAGAGAGAGGGTCTCTTGATAGAATCTCCCAGCTATGATTTTATTAAAATGTATGTCCTCATGAATGGTTCCATTCGAAGGAATTTCTTCACTCACAAATTTGTAAGTAAGGCTGTCACTGTGCAATGGTGGCTGTAGGGACCACAATACAATGCACCAACGAAACCGCTCTATCGATCCATTAAAGATATAGGACTGCATTTTTCAGGAGAACGGGTGAGCAGTGGGGACCTGAGGAAAAGTAATGGCGCCTTTCTGTGCGCCAGGTTCAAGATGCCATTCTTGGCAGTGGAAATTTTGTGGGGCTGGGGAGCCCCGCAAACTTGAGATCCACAGGCATTTTTAGTTTTCACAGCCTTCCTCCAGTTTCCTGATGCATTAAGAGGCCTCCTTGCTTGCCAGCTAAAGACCACTCAGTGAAGAGACTCCCCAAACCAGTCCCCATGATAGTGGCCTGACTGCTTTTTCTGTGATGGTTTTAGTTTTTCAAAAGGTGGTGGCGATGGCACGTCTCTGGGTAAAGTGGCCTCCCAGTTACTTACTCTGCACTGCAAGTGATGCTGGGAGACCTCAGTTTGGTCTTTCAGCTTCAAGCTCCTGCCCACTCTCCTGCAATGATCAGAAAAGTTGACTCCACGCCAATGAAGGGAACATTGAAATTCTGAACAAAAATTGCTTCCTTCTACCGCCCCCACCTTCTCCGAATGGGAAGCTGCTGTCATGGGAAAACTTCAGCACTAGGTCCTGTTCCACATTTAGATTTGCCAGGGATCCGTTCATGGTTTAGTGGCATCGCCTGCTGCAGTAGCTTGAGCAGGGGACGGGGGTTGTGTTGGGGATGGTGATCTGTTTCTTTATTGAAAGTAAAATCACACAGCTGCGTATCCGAGAGGAAGTGTTTGATGCAGGGACAGTTACAACATTTAAAAGACATTTGTACAGGTAAGTGAATAGAAAAGATTTACAGGAATATGGGCCAAACACAGGCTAGTGGGACTAGTTTAGTTTAGGAAACTTGGTCAGCATGGATGAAGAGTCTGTTTCCGTGCTATATGACTCTATAACTGCACCGAAGGATCATAGGCAGGGTAGGGGGACAGTAAGAATGGTACAGCTTTCTGTTGCCAACCGGGTTTGAGGTCCTTGACATCTACATCTCTTTAATTTCTGATCAGAGACTGAGGGAGTCATTAATGAGATGAGGCCAGAGAGAAATCAATGAGCTATCTTATTTCACAATAAGATGAATTGCACTTATAGTACTGCACTTACAAGCAGATGCACTTAATTTGCCTCATAAACAACCTTTGGTTACGACGTGAAATAGAGGGCAGATTACACTTCCATATCCTGATTTATCCCATGTTTTCTTTAAATCTATTCAAGCACAGTGGTTTTTAAACATTATTCTTTCATGAGCTGTGGGTGTTACTGCGTAGTCCAGTGTTTTTTTGCACATGCTAATTGCCCTGGAGAAGGTGATGATGAGCTGCCTCCTTGAAACATCTTCACTGTCCTTTCCAAAATGGCATTACTACAGCCCAGGTATCGTAGGTACACCCACAGTGCTGATGGGTAGGGTGTTGCACGATTTCAGCTCAGTAACAGTGAACGTGTGGGTGACAGGGTTCCAAGTCAGGGTAGTGTGTGGTTTTAGGGTGGTGTTTCCATGGATGGAGTTTAAAAACAGGGAGGCTATGCTGCAGCTGCATAGGGTCCTGGTGAGGCCACACCTGGAGTACTGTGTGCAGTTTTGGTCTCCTTACTTGAGAAGAGATATACTAGCACTAGAGGGGGTGCAGAGGATGATCGGTTGATTCCAGAGTTGAGAGGGTTGGATTATGAGGAGAGACTGAGTAGACTGGGATTATACTCATTGGAATTCAGAAGAATGAGGGGAGATCTTATAGAAACATATAAGATTATGAAGGGAATAGATAAGGTGGAGGCAGGGAGGTTGTTTCTGCCAGCAGGTGAAACTAGGACTAGAGGGCATCGCCTCAAAATAAAGGGAAGCAGATGTAGGACTGAGGTCAGGAGGAACTTCTTCACCGAAAGGGTTGTGAATCTGTGGAATTCCCTGCCCAGTGAAGCGGTTGAAGCTACCTCGCTGAATGTTTTTAAGGCAAGGCTAGATAAATTTTTGAACAGTAAAGGAATTAAGGGTTATGGTGAACGGGCAGGTAAGTGGAGCTGAGTCTCAAAAAGATCAGCCATGATCTTATTAAATGGCGGGGCAGGGTCGAGGGGCCAGATGGCCTACTCCTGCTCCTAGCTCTTATGTTCTTATGTCTGCTGCCTTTGTCCTTCGAGGTGGTAGAGGTCTCGAGTTTGGAAGGTGCTGTCAAAGATTTGGCAAATTATAGCAAAGAATGTTGTCGATGGTACACGCAGTGGCCACTGTGTTTCGGTCATGGAGAGGGTGAATGTTGGAGGTGGTGCCAATCAAGCAGTTGCCCTGTCCTGGATGTTATCAAGCTTCTTGAGTGTTGTTGGAGCTGCATTCATCTCTTGTCGCAGCTGTATTTGTATGGCTAGTCCAGTTCAACTTTTGGTCAATGGTAACCCTTCAGGATGTTGATATTCAGTGATGGTAACACCATTTAATGTCAAGGATAGATACATACGTTCTGTAGTGTTGGAGGCAGTCATTGCGTGGCACTAGTGTATTGTGAATGTTGCTGTTTGCTTATCAGCCCAACCTGAAAGTTGTCCAGCTTTTACTGCATTTCAAAACTAGTTGCTTCAGTATCTAGGAGTCGTAAATGATATTGAACTTTGTACAATTGACAGTACACATTCCTGCTTCTGAGTTTTTGACGAAGGAAGGGCTTTACTGAAGCAGCTGAGGACACTAGCTTGTTTGATGGTTTCTGGCATCTTGTGTCACTCAAGTTACGCTGCAAAAAACAATTAAGTGGTATGGAAGACCAAAAAAAAACCCAGCCTGATCTTTTTAATGTCTCTTTGCTGTTCTCGATGCTTTAAACTGACGATTTTAACATCTTTATTTCCTCACAGGAGATGCTGCATGAATGTTGTAAACCCACAGACGTAAGTGAACCCTCCTGCTCTCAGTGACCTCTCTCTTACATACGGTTACTTCACTTGCAGGAACCTCAGAAAGGAGGGTTGTTCAGGGGTTTTAGTGGATCGGGTGGGTCGTTGGGCTGGGTATGACACTGGGCCACTGGGTGGATTTACTGAACTGGTCGATTCACTGCATTGGGTGGTTCAGAAGACCTGTAGCTTCTTTCTTGTTGATAGGTCAATGTTGATTGAGTGCCTGAACATAGAGCTGGCTGGATAGCAGTGATATTATGCTCCGAGCAATATGGCCATACTTAACCTTTGTCACATTGAGCCTCCCTCTCAATTTCAGCTTGAAACAAATCACACAATCAAGATAGCTACCTGATGATAACTTCCCATTTACTGTTGAAAAAATATTACTGGCATCATGCTTCTATAGTCAAGGGGATCACAGCTTTTATAACTGCTTCCTAAAGGAACAGAATCCAAAATTGGACAGATTATAGGACGCGGGTTACACCATACTGGAGCACTGAGTTCTGAGCTCTATATTAAATAAATTATATAAAGGAAAATGCAGAAACACTTTACAAGGATATTTCCAGAAATAAGAGGGTACAACAATAGAGAAAATTGAAAAGAAAGACTGAGAATTAGCCGAATGAATCTTGAATGTTATGACAGGGCTTGATAAGGTAGATGTTTCCACTTGTTGAGGAAGTAGGGAGCCTTTAGGATATTAAGATAGTTACTACAAAATTCAGTTAAGAATTCAGGAGAAATGTCTTCACTGAGGGTGATTAGAATGCAAATAGCACAGATGTATTTAGGAAAAGTTCAATAAACACATGAGACAGGAAGGGCCAGAAGACTATCCTGAGAGGGTTAGCTGAAATAAGACAGGAGGCCGGTCATGTCAAGTGAAATGCCCTGTTTCTTTATTATAAATGCCAAGTATTGTATGTGTGAAAAGTGAAACAATTGAATCTTCTTCAGCTGTGGTGCAATGTGTGGAGCTACAGTGGAAATAAATGGAAAAAAAATAAATTGTCCCCTGGAGGAAACTTGCCACATCTTATCAAAATGCAAAGCATTATCAACTCAGGAATGTCATTGCACATTATTAATATGAGGCCAAAATATGTAAAGTAAGTACCTTGTGTCGAAACATAGAAAGGTGAAGCACCAATGAATTTAATACATCATCTCTCACCTTGCTCAATGCTTTTCAGTCCCTAATATCAATTTGATTCTGACAATATGATAACCACCCTCTCAATTTTCCCCAGGTCGGGTCTGTAACTTATGTAGACAGGCCTCAGCTTAGACTAGTTAACTCAGAACAATCTGTTCACCTTCCTTTTTCTGAGTCACCTTGCATACAGACTTTGAGTAACATAGACTGCAACCTTAGGGCTCTTGCGGTGCAGTGGTAGTGTCCCTACCTCTCAGCCAGGAGGCCTAGGTTTAAGTCCCAATTGCTCCAGAGGTGGATAATAACATGCCTGGCTGGCAGAAGGAAGCAGAGTTTTAGAAAAGTTCGGCTTAATAGAGAGCAAAGCATCAAGGCTAATTTATCCTTTCTTGAATACTTTGTTACGTTCTTTTGTCCACTTGCATTGAGAGTTCCCAATGAGAAAGAAGAGCTTTAAGAATAAAACTTGTTTTCTTTGTTTACCCATCCCGTTCTAGGATTTTATTAATGAGCTGCTACTTAGAATAAAGGGTCTTCGGAAAATGACAGTCTCTCAGAAGAAGTGAGACAGAGTGCCACCATCAATGGAACAGAGTCACCGGGACTAAGTTGAGTGTGTGGTCAGACCAGCCTTGTCCTATTTATGAAATAACACCCTTACTTTGGTCAAAAAGGGATCAATTTGGGACCGAAATATGTGAAGCATGTTAGTCCGTGACTCAAAATCACAGATTTACAAAAAAGAAAATAGAGAATGAGCAGGATACGTTTGTGGCTATTTATGGATTTTTTTTGTTAAAACTGTTAATAAAAGATGATGCGTAGGTGTAATTCCTGTTCTGCTGTTGCTGGAACAAAGTAGATTTTAATCCTCTTATTACCTTTCAAACTGTATATGCCTTTTGTTTGAGAGAATCTGTGCCAAAAGGGACTTAAGCACAAATCTAGGCCTACATTCCCACTGCAGTACCGAGGGAGTGCTGGACTGGTGGAGGTACTATTTTTCAGGTGACATATTCAAAGGACGCCTGGTGTACCCAGTCAGATGGATGTAAAAAGATCCCATGGCTCTATTTCAAAAGAAAATGACAGGAGGTTGTGCATCTCATGTATTGTCTGTCTCATATTTATCACTCAAACAGCTACTACTAAAAGTGGTGATTATAGAATGCTATTTGTGGGATATTGCTTTGTAAACTGGTTGCTGCGTTTCCTTCATAATTGCAGTGGTCGTATTCCAAACATAATTCGTGGGCTGTAAAGCGCTTTGGGGACATCTGGAGAGAGTATCAATTGCTATTGAAGTAGCAGAAATGTAATCAATTCAATGATTAATGAAAGCCAGATCCATGTGAGGAATAAATGCAAAACAGTCAGGAACAGAGCGCTCTGAGAGGTGAACTGAATGAAGATGGAGATCCCACAGAAAGGCAGCAAACCTACATCAGCAGGAAAGGATGGTTGTTTCAACTGCTCCCTCTTGCCATGGATCCTGGCAGTCAATAAATTGATTAGACCAGAGGGCAAGTTGGGAGACCGAGTTGGATTCCTGCCCTATGCTTTGGAAATGGATTTGATCTTTGATGGATGGCTGGGTCCACAGAATTCCTGGAGCCAGGTGTATATGTTTTTAAAAAAAATTATGTAGTCAGCCAAGATTCGACTTCACCTTCTGAGCATTACCCTGTGACACCCTACCACCCTGACATTTCTGATTGCTGCCAAGTTCCTGATTGAGCAGAAAGTCCTGCTCCTGTGCCCACATCACACAGTTGGATCACTGTTGGAGATCAATCTCTGGAGCCTGGTAACCAGAAGGCAATACAGCTGAGAACAGGAACATGGCCAGGCATCATCCTACTCGGCTGACCTGTTGCAGGTTTACCCTACGTTTTGATCACAGATGGACACATTTGCGGTGAATGTCACGTGCAGCAGCTGGCATCTCTGTGGTCCATCTGTGAAGTTGAGTGTTAAGTGGAGTGCATGGTTCTGGATGTGATCACCCTGCAACTTGAGAATATGTAAGCTGGGGTGGGGAGGGGGATTGGGTGACTGCCAGGCAAAGAAGAGCAGACAGGTAGCCCCGAGTGTATCTCGCTCTCCAACAGGTAGTCTGTTGTAAATTCCTCTGGCTAAATTTGCTGGTGACACAAAGATAGGCAGGAAAGTGAATTGTGAAGAAGACATAAGGAGCCTACAAAGGGATATGGATAGACCAAGTGAGTGGGCAAAGATCTGGCAAATGTGGACTCGCCAACGTTGGTAGAAAGAATTAAAAAGAACCATTTGACCTAAATGATGAGAGGATGCAGAGAGATCTGAGTGTCCCAGTGCATTAATCGCCAATGGTTAGTACGTGTGTATGGCAAATAATCAGGAAAACTAATAGAATGTTATGTTTTATTGCGAGGGGAAATGAATACAAAAGTAGGGAGGTTATGCTTCAGTTATATAGGGCATTGGTGAGACTGCATCTAGATTACTGTGTATAGTATTGATCGCTGTACATAGAGTCTTTACACTACGGAAGCAGGCCACTCGGCCCATCAAGTCCACACTGACCCTCCAAAGAGCATCCCACCCAGAATCCCTGTATCCCTACATTTCCATGGCTAATCCACCTAGCCTGCACACCCCTAGACACTATGGACAATTTACCGCAGCCAATCCACCTAATCTGCACATCTTTGGGCTGTGGGAGGAAACCAAAGAACCCGGAGGAAACCCCATGCAAACATGGGGAGAACGTGCAAACTCCACATAGACAGTTGCCCAAGGGTGGGATTGAACCTGGGTCCCTGGTGCTGTGAGGTACTAGTGCTAATCAGTGAGCGACTATGCCACCCTAGCTGCTATATGCAGAAGGATGTTAATTTGTTGGAAGCAGTCCAGAGAAGGCTCACTAGAATAATACCTAGAATGTGTGGATTGCCTGATGAAGAAAGTCTAGACAAGCTAGGTATGTGTTTTCTGGAATTTAGAATAGCAAGAAATGACTTAACTAAAATATCTAAGTTCATGAAGGAACTTGACTGGGTCAGTGTTGACAGGATGTTTCTTGTGGCAGAATCTAGAATTAGGGGTCATAGTTTTGAAAAAAAGGGGTCAGCCATTTAAAACAAAGATAAGGTTTTATGAGTCTTCGGAATTCCTTTCCTCAAAAGGCATATTCTTTATGACCAAGGGGGATGAAAGATTATTGGGAATGTGTAGGAATGTAGAGTTGAGGTTAAAATCAGGTCAGCTGTGATCTTACTGAGAGCCTGCTGAAAGGGCCGAGTGCCCTACTTTTATTCCTTGATTGTATGTTCGACGACAGGAGATTTGATTGAGGCTTTCAAAATCACGGCGGATCAGGACAGAGTAGATGGGGAGAAATTGTTCCCATTAGCAGAAGATTTGAGAACCAAAGGATATTGGATGAACAGCAAATGAGCCCAATGGTTTCATGAGGAAAACCTTTTCATACTCTGGTTCAGAACTGGATTGTTCTGCATGAGAGTGCTTGCATCAAGAGGGACTTGAATAAACACATGGACAAAATATAAATTGCAGGGCTACGTGGAAGGGACAGGCTGAGTTGGTCTTGCAAAGAGTTGGCACAGAGAAAATTGGCTGAATGGCCATCAAAGCCACAACCATTCTATGACATTCTGCAATTTGAAGGAGACATTGGGAGCCAATACAGATTAATGAACACAGTGTTGGTGGGTCTAGAATTGGATTTGCTAATATTTTTCCGTATCTTTAAAGAGATTTGGGAAGAAAAATCAATGAAAGAAGGCTCAATGTGGTGAAGGAAGATAGAGATAATCAGAAGTGAATTTTAGCATTTTCATCTTGAGGCCATGAATCAGAGGTTGTAAATGGATTTAAGAGGGAATTAAACGTCATTCTGGAGGGAGAGAGGAGAAGGAGTCTGCAGGTGAAGGCCAGTTGGCAGATGACACAAAGATAGGCAGGAAAGTGAATTGTGAAGAAGACATAAGGAGCCTACAAAGGGATATGGATAGACCAAGTGAGTGGGCAAAGATCTGGCAAATGGAGTATAATGTGAGAAAGTGAATTTGCCCATTTTGGTAGAAAGAATGAAAAAGACACAATTTGTCTGAATGAAGAGAGGATGCAGAGAGATCTGCGTGTCCAAGTGCATTAATCGCCGATGGTTAGTATGTGTGTATAGCAAGTAATCAGAAAAGCTAATATAATGTTATGCTTTATTGTGAGGGAAAATGAATAGAAAAGTAGGGAGCTTATGCTTCAGTTATATAGGGCATTGGTGAAATTGACCTCAGACAATTGAACTTTCCTGTTTGTCACACTGGGAGGCTGTGGGAAAAGAGGATATCCATTCTGGCAGAAAAAGACACTTCAGTTTTGGAGTCGTTTGGCAAAGACTTCCAGATGTGAATGTCACTCATCCTACTTTTAATGTTGAACTAATTATTTGGTAGCATTTTAATGTGTTTATTTGACCTTTAAACAGGCAATTTAACTATAGTTGGTTATACTACAGTCTTGTTCAGCTTATTCAATGGTGGGTTGGTACAGACTTCTTAATCAGTGGTAACACTACCTTTTTTGTATTAGCACCAAGTGAGAGTGGTAAGAACTTTAATTGTGGTACTTATAATGCAGCCAGAAGGTGAAAACACACACACATACAGTCACACACACAGATTTACATGTACACGTACAGTCACTTTTATGCACATGGAGACACACATACAAAGATATGTCACATACAGACACAGATATGCACACAGACATACACACATGCGCACATACCATGCATGCACACACACACAAATGCATTCAAACACATTTGCTGCTCCTTGAACTTGGGATTCAGTGCCCTCTCTATCTCAGCAAAACAATGCAGTGAAGTCACAGGCATATCATCTTGCAGCATCTGGAAAGGACATAATTATGATTTATCTGCCTGCTAACATGGCACGTTTATCATTTTCATTGCTTCACCCTTTGGGGGAATGCATCTAAGCAGTTCAGGAGCTTGTTGTGCAGGGAATCATAAAACACTGTCTCCCCACCACTCAACCCAACATTGAGTGGTGAGGTATTCCTAAGAGTGAGCACTATTACATTTGACATTTCTTTCTCTTGGATGCACCAAGGACAAGACTCCAGACCCATTAACCTTTGAACCAATTTCCTCAATGTCTAAAAGTCCAGGAGCTTGAGAAAAATTCTTCTTTGCCTTGTTCTTTGAAATGCAGGGTCTCCGTGTTGTAACAAAGTACTTTCAATGAAGGACACACTACTTTCCTACTGTCAGGATGGCCAGAACAGTGCTGGTTGGCCACAAAACTGAACCAGGCCTTCACTCGGACTCAGTGCCTATCATCCCCGATCCTAATCTATTGTAGTGGCTAGCTCAGTTCAGATACAAATTGACGCTTGTTTCAAATCTCTCCGTGGAAACATAATGGACATCCTCATTCAGGCCCACTGTGCAACGTGCTCCTCACCTGGAAATAGAAGAGATTACTTGATTAATTTCCTTGTCTGTAAAGACTTGCCCTCCTCAAACCTCATGCAGCCATCCAGGTTGGGCTCTGTATGCAAACAACAGACCACATCCCCTTCTGTATCAAGAAGATTGTCAGCCTTGTCTCAGTGGGTACCATGGGTTATTTTACAAATATTCAGGAGGGCTGTTTCAGCCTTGGCTTAATATCTCAGCTGAAAAATGGTTGTTCTGATAATGTAGCACTCCCTTGCTACAGACACTGGCATTGTCAACCAGCATTGGTGCATTGGAGGCTGAGGGGTGACCTTTTAGAGGTTTATAAAATCATGAGCGGCACGGATAGGGTGAATAGCCAAGGTCTTTTTCTCAGGGTAGAGGAGTCCAAAACTGGAGAGCATAGGTTTAAGGTGACAGGTGAAAGATTTAAAAGGGAACCAAGGGGCAACTTTTTCACGCAGGGAGTGGTGCATGTATGGAATGATCTGCCAGAGAAAGTGGTGGAGGTGGGTACAATTCCAACATTTAAAGGCATCTGGAGAGGTATATGGATAGGAAGTGTTTAAAGGGATATGGGCCAAATGCTGGCAAATGGGACTAGATTAATTTAGGATATCTGGTCGGCATGGACGAGTGGGACCGAAGGATCTGTTTCCGTGCTGTACAGCTCTATGACTCTATAATTATGGGCTCAGGTCTCTGGAATGGGACATGAACTCACAGTGAAAGGTGAGATGTACTGAGGAGCAGATACATGGGAATACATCACTTGCAAGTTCCCCTTCAAGCCGCTCAAGTTTCCTGTCACTGGGTCAAAATGCTCCCTAACAGCACAGTGGGTATCCCTACACACAGAGACGGCAATGGTTCAACAAGACAGCTCATCACCACCTTCTTGTGGACAGTTATAGATGAGCAATAAATTCTGGTCCAGCCAGCAAAACTCATTTCCCACGAGTTAATAAATAAATCCTAAGTGTCAGACTATTGCACCTATTTATTTTGCATACTTTAAGTGACGTTAATGTAGCCAGTGTTGGCCAACATTGTGACCAGAAAGAAGGGATGGCGGCTCAGTAATATATGTCATCAGCATTCTGTGTGTCACAAAGTGGTATGGTGTTCAGAAACCAGGTAGTGTTACGGGCGAAAACTTGTAAAACGAAAACTTTGACGAGAGAGTCAGGGAATGCTGGGACGTGGCCCAAATGTCCAGCTCAGATAGCATGGGCTCTGCCTTCAATATGTTGTACTCTCATCATTGCCACTGAATCATTGCTTGTCTTTCAAACCAGTACCCGACTCATTTCAGTCAAGGAATGGTACTCACTGAACTGGCAAATATATCTGTTGCGAGTCTTGCAACGCTGATCATTCCAATTGAAAGCACTTGAAACTTGCAACTCGACACAGTTTCCAAAACTGGTAAAAAAGAAGGAAGCCTGGTGAGTGGAATGATGATAAACTGAGGCGATATACATTGTGCATGTCCCCCATCTGTATACAGTGATGTTCACTTTCAGCAGGATTCATTTCCACTGATACCACAATGTGGTAATATTTATTTAGTTTGACAGTGTTAACTAATTCATATCAATGTCACAAAGTTATCCCCTTATGCCATCACACCACCACAATGAAGGTTCCAGAGTTAATGATATGAATTATATATATTGTGTGTATATTAATTATCTGAGCCGGGAATGTATCTTAGCCCATCTGGACTTACCCCTGATTATCTGGCTGTCCAAAAGCAAAACTGTAAAAAGTAGGAAGTTCCCCAGAATCCCAACGGAACGAGTCTCTTGACATTTTGTAAGTCAAGCCTGAAAACAGCAAAAAGAGCCACTCAGATTCAAATAAATACGTCCGTGATGATTTTATCCATTTTAAGCACACTGTAACCATTCTTTGTGTTTTTATTTATGTTAACCTAGTCTGTCATGCTATCACTCAATAACTCCTATCCCCCAGCGCCCTGTGTTACTGACCGTATCTCTCCTGATATTAATCCAGCTCCCTCCCATTGCCACTCAGTAACCACTCTCTCTCTAGCGCTGACTGTATCTCTATTGACGTTAATCCAGCTTCCTCACGCTGTCACTCAGTAACCCCTCTCCCCCAGCACCCTGTGTTACTGACTGTATCTCTCCTGATGTCAATCCAGTTCCCTCACACTGTCACTCAGTAACCTCTCTCCCTCAGCAACACGTATTACTGACTGTGTCTCTCCTGATGTTAATCCAGCTCCCTCACATGAGGAAGTAGAGTGACACAAACTCACTGAGAGTAGAGTGAAACCAATAAAAAGACTATTAATAGACAGAGATTGTTTTCGAACAGCTCACCAATCCAGAAGTTGCGCGTTTCGAAGTCTGGGTCAGTCACTTCGTTTGTATTCTCTAATTGACTAAGGTAAAAAGCCAAAATATCTTGCACCTTCTGGTTTTTAATTTGTGCTAAAATCCCACCTCGCTCCTGAAGAAAAACCATGAGAACAAAGATTAGTACAGAAAAATGTCTCAGCAAATAAGTCAGCCTTGGAACATTGTTGCTGAAACTGAATGGTTTTTATGGATATCTGAGTCACTAAGGTGAGAATCTATTCTCTTTGTATACAATGTGTGTTCAGTCTTGGTTCAAGGTTCCTTTATGATCATGCAAGCTGAGGGAGGCCGTGTAATATTTATGACATCTGTTTCATGGCACTATGGTTCAGGTTAGATATGTGGTAATGCTCCCTGTCATACACTAGCACAGGTAGAGTGCAGATTAGAATCATCATAGAATTCCTACCTGGGGAAGCAAGCCATTCAGCTCATCACATCCACACCAATTTTCCAAATAGCATCCCACCCAGGCCCAGCCCCAGCCCCAGCCCCCTATCCCTATATTTTCCCTGGTTAATCCACCTAGCCCTCATATCCCGGGACACTATGGGCAATTTATCACGGCCAGTCCATCTAACCTGCACATCTTTGGACTGTGGGAGGAAACCGGAACACCCTTTGGAAACCCACGCAGACATGGAGAGAACGTGCAAACTGTGCACAGATAGTTGTCTGGAGTGGAGTCGAACCCAGGTCCCTAGTGCTGTGAGGCAGCATGCTAACCGCTGAGCCACTGTGCTGCCTAGAATTAGACTCTGAGAAACTTCAAAGGCAAGGCTTGTCCGGTTTGTTCTATTACCTGACATTTGTTCTTGGCTCCGTAATATGTGTCGGCTTCAGGAGAGACCATAAAGCAATCCCCATCAATCTGGATATCACAGGTATGAAACGGAAACTCCATCTTTTCTAGGCACAAAAAGTCATGCAAGAGTTAAGAGTTAAAACAGCTACAGGGAAAGAGCAAGGCTAACTTGTACAGTTCTTTTGAAGACCCCGCAGTGATATGATTAGCCAAACAACCATCCTCATACCTGTATGATTGTATATGATCAGGGATCTTGGATTTTATTCTCACACAACACACGACTAAGAAACATGTAAAAATACATTGCCCTTGCTACCAGAAAACAGAGATCATATATTAGCATATGTTATTTAACAGCTCCTTTGATCTTAATAACCTTCACTTTAACTGTTTCCTGTTAAACTGTGTCTTTCCTGAAAGGGTTAATTGCTCATGTTAGGGTTTATTGGATGGTCTTTCAAAATACAAGCACAGGCATGATTTATCAATGATCTTCTGGTCATAAAGATATTTCCAGCACAGGAAGAGGTCATCTGGCTCACTGATCCCCACTAGCTCCTCGTGAAACAGTCCATCAGTCCCATTTCCCCATCTCTGTCTCCAAAGCCTGTTAGGTTTACTTCCCACAAGTGCCCATCCAACTACTTTTTGAAATCATGCACAGTTTCCAGTTCCATCACCTTCATAAATAGTGAATTCCTAGTCGTTACTGATCACTGCATAAAAAGAACATCTTCGTCACCTTCCCACTGCCTTTCCTGCCCATAGGTAAAGGCCTGAACAGCCTCTTTTTTGCCCATCTTCCACCAGCTGGGCTGTACTTTAAGAGGCTTTAAATTCTGAAATGGCCTCCATAAACCTCTTTGCCTTTCTTCTGCTCTCTATTCCTCTTTGATTTTGAATTGACTTGATTCATTACTGTCATATGTACCGCGATAATGAAAATTATTGTCTTACGTACTTTACTAGCAGACCGTACTATACAAGTGCATCAGGGTAACAGAACAGAGTGTAGGATACCGAGAAAGTGCAGAGAGAGATCACCATTAACATTAAAGAGGTCCATTCAAAAATCTGATAACAGCGGGTAAGAAGCTGGTCTTGAATCTGTTCATATGTGTATTCAAACTTTTATATCTTCGGCCCAATGGAAGAGAGTGTAACTGGGGTGGGAGGAGTCTTTGATTATGTTGGTTGCTTTCCTGCGGCAGCAGGAGTCAATGGATGTGAGGCTGGTATGCGTGATGGATGCCTCAAAGTGCATCTCTCCAGTCGAGCTTCGATCACCTTGCCTGGTATCTATTTTTTGTGTCCATGTCAAATATTGTCAAAAACACATTTGTGTTATAATCTGGGATATTATACCACTGTAAAGTCGGTACATAAATGCAAGTAGTTGTTTTCTGTATAGTTTCAATCTGTTTCCAATTGGTCATGACTTAACATTGTCTGATACACTTCATACAGCCAATGATCAGCCAACACAGTAGGAAACAAATTGCGAGCAGAAAGCTATTTAACATCACTGAAACTCACAATGATGATTGAAGTCGTCTCTGAGCATGTACTCTGCAGGCAGGGTTGTACACTGCCTTCAGAGCCGTTGTGGTTCACTGGTAGCATCCTACTTCTGGGATAGGAGACCAGTGATCAAATCTCATCTGCTCCAGAGGTGCGCCATGAGATGTCTGAACAGGTTGATTAAAACTTATCTAAAAATATGTATTGCCAGAGCTGAGCTGAAGTTGCAGTCACTATTGCTCTTTGAGAGCCTCTATTGGCAACTAACTGACACTGCAAAGGAACAGCACAAAGGGTTTTGAGTGGAAACTGCATACCTTTGACTGTAGACTACAGAAGCTCCTCATTTCAATATTTGGTCTAGATATTTCTATTGTTACCCACAAGTCAGAGGCATGTACAGCTTCTTCCTCAAGAAAATCAACATATTGGCCTGAATCTTCCAATGGCAACAAATGCCAGGTGTAAAGATCCTGACGAATGTCCTGAACTGTGCACATGCACAGTTTTTACCTGAAACATTCAAAATCCGACTGGCAGAATTACACTTGCCAAGCTCTTTGGCGAATGTATTCAACACTGTCGTTGGCATCCCAGTCTCAGGTTTAATGGCCAAAACGCAACCAGAACCCCACCCCAGGATACACCGCTGTTGGCCACAGTTGGACAACCTGGTTTGGCAGTGATAAAGTGTGGGACGACCTAACCATTGACTTTATTCCAAATAATCCTGAAGAAGGGTCCTGACCCGAAACGTCAACTTTCCTGCTCCTCTGCTGTGTTCCTCCAGCTCCACACTGTATCGACTCTGAATTCCAGCATCTACAGTTCTTGCTATCTCTCATGTTCCAGTCTCAATGGCGGACTCAAATATTGGTTTTCCAATTTTCCTTCAGGAAGAAAACTTTTACACCACTGAGGTTTTCCTCACCTCTGAAAACTAATTCGCAGAGAATGATGTCACAACTGGTCAACAACTCAATGATTACTGAACTAGTTGGCATCAGGTTGGTTGACAGTGAACAGAATGGATCTTGGGTCTGTTCTCTTGCAGAAATTACAATACTCCTATCATTTTAAACAATGACAACAGTAAAATCAATCTCCACCGAAGTTCAGTTTTTGAGTCACATCAATCATTTAACTTTATCCTTTCAGGACAGCGCACATTTCTCGTTCATTGACAGGACCAAGTTGATTAAATGGTAGAAGTGCTGAAGACTAAACAACCAGTTCAAATGGAGAATCCAGGCCTATAGTCAGTTTAGTGAGCAGCGGAATTTTGAGTCCTGGGAACATAAGCGGGTAGCTTCCTGCAATGACTTACTGGCTGCACCATGTTGACAATACAGTATGAATGCACGAATGATCATTTGGTCGATTGATCTTCAAGTCAGACAATTCCTTTTTAGACCTGCCCCCAACCTCTCTTAATAAATGCTTAATACATTTGACAGCTCCTGGTTGAGGGGCCGACTTGCCACTCTGCAACTACCTCTGTTCTTTCATTTTGGGCTTTAATGTGAATCTGTTGTCACTCACCCTTTTGTTTTGTATTTCAAAAATATACTTCATTCATAAAAATATCATTATGCACAAATATAGTCACTAAAGCAGTTCGGTTCTGTACAATCTTTGCAATATGGAGAACAAACAAACATTGGAGTTTGATTTTCCAGCCTGATTTCACTCACCCCCACAGAGAGCACCACCATATCCGACATTACACATACAGGAGCACTCCTCTTCTCTATACTTCCCGTGAATGCATTGCACACTGCACCTGACTGGAAGAAATGACAAGCATTATCATAAGAAAAGACAATGCACAATATCTTAAAGGCTTAATTTGTCCCCTATATGCCACAGAACCCAGGCTCCACGTAGGATTGAAATACACCAAACTCATTATAATTATTCAGATCTCCAAGCAGTAGCCTAAGCATTTGCAATCCAGCTCTAAAGTGGCTCGGTCGGTAGTGCTCTTGCCTCTCAATCAGGAAAACTGTTGTTCAATTCCCACTCCAGACAGCAAGGTCTAGACTGGTATTCTCAGTGAAGTGAAACCGAAAGGACTGCTGTAAATCAAAAACAGAAATTGTTCGGGAAAAAGCTCAGCAGGTCCGGCAGCATCTATGAAGAGATATCAGACTTAGTGTTTTGGATCCGGTGACCCTTCCTCAGAACTGCCAGCTCATGTTGATTTCTTGTTCATTGACAGGACCAAGTTGATTAAATGGTAGATGTGCTGAAGACTAAACAACCAGTTCAGATGGAGAATCCAGGTCTATAGTCAGTTTAGTGAGCAGTGGAATTTTGAGTCCTGGGAACATAAGCAGGTAGCTTCCTGCAATGACTTACTGGCTGCACCATGTTGACAATACAGTATGAATGCACGAATGATCAATTGGTTGATTGATCTTCAAGTCAGACAATTCGGTCACCAGACCTGAAATGTTAACTCTGATTTCTCTTCACGGATGGTGCCAGACCTGCTGAGCTTTTCCAGCAATTTCTGTTTTTGTTTCTCAGTGAAGTACTGACTCCAGGCTGCAACATGGAGGTGCTACCTTTTCAACAAGTTGTTAAACTGAGGTTAAACCCCTGCCCTGTCAGGTGGGTATAAAAGCTCCCACAGAAATAATTGAGAAGAGTATAACAGGTGTCCCGGACAGTATTTATCCCTCAAAAAACAATACATGACATGGCTGCCATCACATTATTGATTAAAGGACTTGACGTTTGCAAATTGTTTGTTGTGTTTCCTACATTATGTAAGTGACCCCATTTTGCTCTTCATTGGCTGCCAGATGCCTTGAGTCTTTCCTTCTTCCTTTAAAGATGGGAAGAAAGCAGTCAGAATAAACTTCACAGTCCGTAGCGGGCAATGGGCCCCCAGTTCCGCATTCCTTGTACATACCTTGGCAATATCTCCCAGTGAACCCTGGCAAACACTCACATCGACATGAGCTCACATTCAGCTGGCCTCTGTTACTGCAGCTCATCCGACACGGATTCCTGGGGACCTCTGGAAGGAAAGACTTGGATTGATACAGTGCCAGCGCTCAGCAAGATCCCAAAAGTAGAAGTGTGCCAATAACTCGACGGTCTGTTTTAGTGACGCCGGTTGAGGGATAAAAATTGATTGGCTGCCCGGGGAGCCATCCCTTGCTCTTCGCCAATTGGTGTGTAGGAACCTTTGCAACTTTAATTCATATTCAAAGGAAGCATCTGTTGGACTGTAGGACTTTAGTGAGGTGATGCTCACCCACAATGGTCTGACTCAGGAAGTCCTCTCGTTGACTTATGGCTGACTTAAGTCATCTAAGCAAGGAGATTCTGAGGAGAGATGAGATAAATAGATATTTCTCAGGCATTAGGTTGGGGAGCTCTGGTGGATTGCAGTTGGTAGAGGATGGAAAATCAAGGAGTGAGCTGCTCCACCATTTCTTAGCTTCCACCATTGGGACAGTCAAACCAGGGAGCTCTGTTCACATTTACTAACCTCCTGCCAGACTGCTCTAACTGATCAAATACGCAAGTGACATCGTGTGGGATGTCTCCTGATGTAAAAATGTTGGTGTAACAGGTGAAAATGTCATGCCTGAGGACGGAAACTTTGAGTGAATTTGGCTACTGAGGTGGGTAGCTATGTCGAGCAAATTCCCAACGTGCTACGCTCACCTCAGTCAAATGTAACCCAAAATGTACAAGTTTCACTTGGATCGAGTCAGACCCATTGACCCCCGAAGCAGAGAGTAGATGTCTGTGGGGATGGGGCAAGTTCTGAAATAAGCTAGTTAGAAGACCTGCCTCTGTTCTCTGAGAATTTGTTCCAATTGTCTTAGACCTTGTTAGGTCCTGAAGTCCTCACCCCTTCATGACCTCATACTCTCCATTCCAACTCAATGTCAATTCATGACCTACAACCATTCCACATTGTCCTCCGTTCCACCCACATCACTTCCTTAGCCTTTCAATCAGATCCCACCATTGACTGATCTCAGGAGCAATATAGAGATGAAAAAATATTCTAAAATTCCTAATACTTCCACACACCTGGTACTAAAAAGGACTTAAATTCATATAACACATTAAAGCTGTTAAATGTCCTTAAGTGGTTAATTTCTTTAAAAAAACAAACATCTATTCAGATCCTTTAATAGTCTATTTAAACTATCAATCAAACGATGAACTCAGAACACTCTGTTGAAATAACTAAATATTTTGAAACTTAGCAAAGCATTCATAATGACATAACAATATCCCTGGGGAAAAATCAACAAAGGTCTTTAATATAACTGTACAATCAGATGTTACACTTTTTACAGCCGAGCCAGTCATTAAAGTAGTTTAAAAAAAAATTAACTTTGACAGCTACGGCCTTTTCTCTTAAGTTTAAAGAACAGGGAATTTAAAATATCTCAGGACTATGTGGGCTTTATCAGTTCTTCAGAAGTATTTGTTTCTACTCCATTAATTCATGACTTCCACACTACAGGGTAACACTCCTCAGCACTGAGTTCAAATGACCCTGCTGAGTGAATCACACCTGCCCAGTTCCTGCCAAAAGCTAAATGGATCAGAAATGTGTGCAATGTCAGTACCTGGGCCCTGCCTACTATTCTTAATGGTCTGTGGGTATTTCCTTACTCTGTGAAAATCTGGCCCTTTACATTTACTGAGTGATGAGTGAAGACTTCAAGTTTATGGAATGTTGAATGGAGACTTTTAATTGTAGGCAGACCTAGAAATTATTGCTGTTGTTGGCAAGAACAAAATATTTTGGGTGTTTTCTAATCCTTTGATCATCTATTTAAATTGTCAATCAAATCATGAACACAGAACACTCTGTCGAAGTAATTCAAGATTTTAAACTTCCAATCTTCTATCTGGGGTTTTAACCCAACTAAAACAAACAGGTTGGTTCCTGTATTAGTCTAGCTGTGTACTCACTTTCTGAGTCTTTTTAAAGAAACTTGTCTCATCAAGAAACCCAATTGAATGGCATCAGTTCATTTTTAACAAACTCTGATAATTTTACCAAATATTTGGAACACATTGATTGTTGTGTTTCTTAAGATATCATCTACTAATCTATCACATTGCATTTAACCAGCCTAAGACAAAAAAAAAAGTCTGTACCAGTAGGTTTGTAATGGTAGATTTGATGCCAATCCATGGTTGGGTAATACAAAGCCTTTCCAGAGAGATTTGTCATAATGAAGATTGTTATAGAAAGTGTCGATGGTATGGTATATAACAAGGTCGCTGACTCATTGCAGCTACTCACCACACAGTCCACCATGGTGGTCCCAGGATTTAAAACAGCCTGACATGCGAGAGGTGCAGAGAGAGCATGATGCCCCTTCCTTATAGGGAATGATGGTTCTTCCATTGATTTCCCAGTTCCCTCTGAAATGCAAACAATGTGACATGAGAAGGACCCCATGGATCCAGATCATTGCACTGATCTCAGCAATGCAAAACTGAAACTGGGGCAAGAGGTGAAGCTGCACTCAATGCACTGGGCCAGTATCTCACAGCTCGGTTGCAATGGTCCCTTTACATGGTGGCAACATGGCTGCATTTGGTCCACTCCTATTTTTACTGCCTTTGGGAAGAATACCATCTCATCAATCTGACCTCTTTGCCACCACAGTGTACTAACCTGGGGTATCAATAGTGCTCCCTCGTGTGCAGAATCTACAAACTCTGTGATATGATCAGAGGTCGCAGAGACTCACAATTATCTAGAAATTAAAAGTACAAGGAATATCGGAATCATGTTGAATCACCTACTCCTAATTCTTATGTTCCTTTCTGACACTATTAATAATTTTCTAAGTAAAGCCAGGCATGAACAGAAAGGAATGCTCTTTGCAGGAACTGTCTATGAAGCACCTGGAGAGCTCATGCAGTTGGATAGTGACCTGGTAGAGAATGAAGGAATTGCTGCTCACATACCAACCCAGACATTCCAGCAGGGAAAGGGAGGGTGTGTGGGAAGAAGTCATTCATTTTGAAGCTTCATTTTCTTTCTTCTCAGGATTTGCATTCAAGCATTTGGAATTGGGACTTATTCTTTGTTAAACCAGATCCCAGGCAAGGTTCCCCAAATTCTGTACAGTTCCAAATGAATACCTGAAACTGTTTAGCTCCTGGACGAGCAGGGATGAACTATCTCCTCTTCTTTATTCACTGACTCCCTTGTTTGGTTAAAAAGATTAATTAAAAATACCTTTCTCCCAACCAAATTAACTTATGCTTTGAAAGGAGCCAATCTGACCAGAATTTCTTGAATTAGCAACCATCTGCTCTGCATGAACCATTCAGAAACTGATCTGTTTATCTGTTTTTTTTTTAAAAGCTAGTATCTTTTGGATTTACCGCTTGTCTCTAATCTGGTGTCTATGTATTCAGTTAGTATTTATTCTTGTGGTTAGTAATTAATGAACCCACTCTACCACCACTCTATCCTTTTCATCTTTCTCAGCTTCCGCCCATTAACCTTTCCTTTTAAAATTTTGGGGTTTTCATGCCTTAGGCAAAATTCTAATTGTACGTGCTATGCTTACTCTTTTAACTATGTGAGGGATAGAATGTTTAAATCTGCTGGAAACACTGTGCCATCCAATGAAGACACTTCTGTACCATAGAAAAACAAATCCATGAAAGAGTTTGCAGTTTCTTTCCAAAATGAAAATTTACCTACTCTAATTCTAGGTTCAAATTCTAGATGAGACCCCAATTTGTTACAACCTTCTTGCAAAGATTTATAGCTCAGTTTGTGGATGAGGTCGTTCACTTGCTCGCCAACTACAAACCCATGCAGAACAGAACCGGAAATGACACAACCCAACTTAACAGGCCGAGTCACATAAATACCAAATGGAGGAGAACAACATCGCTTCATCGGAGGCTGCACTGATGATGCTATGTAGCATGGTGCCAAAACGTCTGTACAATAACCAGCCAGCTCGGCGAGCAAGCCAACAATCCTGTTACAACCAGATGGTTTGCTATGACCAGACTTCGGGCAAGGTTCTCCAATTGATTACAGCGCTAGAAGAGGAACCCCGAACTGGCTCCCCTTCTTTATTCACCCACCTCCTCAATTGGTTGCATTAAAACATATCCCTTGCCATGTTGGTACCTTTCTCCCTCACCATAGAGTCACAGTCATAGAGTTACACAGCACAGAAACAGATCCTTCGGTCCAACTCGTCCATGCCAGCTATAAACCCTAAATTAATCTAGTCTTATTTGCCAGCATTTGGCCATATCCCTCCAAACCCTTCCTATTCATGTACTCATCCTTTTAAATGTTGTAATTGTACCAGCCTGCACCACTTCCTGTAATGAATTTATGCTTTAAAAGGAGCTAATTTAACTCGGCTTTCCTGAAATAACAAGAAGTATGATTTCATTAATTATGAAACGCTAAGAAAAATTGCTAACGCAGCACACATACACACAGGTTTGAAATAAGAGGGGAGTCTGAAAGAAATAGCTAAAAGAAAAGATATACTGATCAGTTTCTGAATTGTTCATGCAGAGCAGGTAGAAAAGCATTATGACTGGCGCAGTATAAGTTACCAAGAGCATTGACATTAGTTTGTGAACAATTGATCTCATGGTACTTGGTTTTGCAGATTGGTTGAGATTCTGTAGTTCTACTGCATTTCAACCCTGACTGAACTCCAGCATTCAGGATGTCATTCTTTTGCTGTCCCCTGTTCTTTTTAACCGGTTTGTAGTGCTCAGAGTTACTTTACCAAGAGAGTCTTTACTTGCAACACAAGGATAACTAGGAGATAGTTCTTGGACTAACTAATGCTTGAGCCCAGCCTAGTACACACAGTCGTGTTTAGTCCCACTCGTCCACTCCAGTAGTATTGAAACTGGCTTTTTAACCCATTTTGTATATTCTTGGATGGTAAAACAAGGCTTGATTTCCCGCAAAGAGAGGGGAGATAGTCAATCCTCTCATTATTTCTTCTTGTTAAGTCCCTCCTTGTTTGAAGTCCCCCTGACAATTTACGAGTGTGACATTTGGTTAGCTTCACATAGGATTTTGCCGGTCACTGAATTTAAATCTGCAGTTTACCTGTTACAGTCTTCCTTTTAAACACAACATATTTTTGAATTAAAAGAAAAAGCTGTCTTAAGTACTTCAGTGTTAAGATTGGTCATCATAACATCTTCTAAGTCAAAGGCTAAGCCACATCCAAGACCTTTGACATCTCATCTCTTTTAACAAAAAAACTTTAAGATGTCAACAAAACTGGGTACACAATAAAAAGGAGACAGAGTAAACTGTAAACAGACTCTATTTTGAAAATAAAGTTGAAATCTCGTTTAGTTATTTAAATACTGGAGGTGGAAAAAAGGCCAAGACTGATAGAATAGAATGATCTAATTGGGTAATGAAGAATCTATTCCATTTTGGAAATGTGCAGTTTCAGCAAGAAGGACTTTTCAGACACCCAACTGGCAAATGGGCCATTGTAGTGAGGAACCTATGTGATTTCAATTTGTAGAACATGCCTAACTAGAGTACGATAATTGTACCATTAATAGGGTCTTACCCTGGCGAATAGGCACAGATAACAATCTCCGTCCATTCTCCATTCTGAAAACAAATATGTTTCCCACACCCGACTTTGCTGGTGGTTGCCCAGACAAGCTGTTAAAAAGAAATAAATTCAAGAACATTAAAGTCCTCTCCTCCTCCACCTCCTCCTCCTTTCACATGTCTTCCATGAGCTGGATTCTAGACTGCCATCTGTAACTGGGATTGAGCAGAATTTAGAGGCAGAGCAGAGGGTGAAGAACACAGGGCAGGACAGAACACACAGAGAATGGCACAGGGAAGGGGCAGAGGAAATGACAGGGGAGGATTAGCACAGAACAGTTAATTGGTTGTTAATTGCATTTAGTTATATGCCAGTGGCAGGAGTTGGCTCGGGCATTCACTTGAGCCCTTTTAAATGGACACATGCCCAAAAAGCTAAGTAGATGAATGGCTATTTAGTAGTTGGATGGGGAAACTACCTGGGAATACTAGGTGCAGTAAGTCTTTGCTTCCAGCAGAGGATACTCACATCACCTCTTTGCACTTAATAAATAACCAAAAGAGCTACAGATGCTGTAAATCAGGAACAAAAACAGAAGTTGCTGGAAAAGCTCAGCAGGTCTGGCAGCATCTGTGAAGAAAAAAATCAGAGTTAACATTTTGGATCCGGTGACCCTTCCTCAGAACCGGACCCGAAATGTTAACTCTTGAGTTTTTCCTTCACAGACACTGCCAGACCTGCTGAGCTTTTCCAGCAACTTCTGTTTTTGTATCTCTCTGCACCTGCCTTCTAAAAAAAGGCTCTGATAGTGTCCCTACCTCAGAGCAAGGAGGCAAGGATTCAGGCCCCACCTGCTGCCGGGCTGTGTCACAAAATCTCTGACCTGGTCGATTGAAAAGGAAAACCTGTGATTGTTTGTATTGAGAGGGGTAGGCTCGCAATGTGCAACTCTGTAAGTACATACAGAAAGAGATTAGCTTCCAATCTTATCTTTCACCAAATGGCTTCCCTGGAAAACAGGGTATGGCATGAGGTAAGGTAGGACATAACCCAGGCTGGTGAATGGCACAGAACAGGAAATTGTGGTACATAAGAGCACACTCAGCGCTAAACTAGTTGGGTTACACTTATGCACCTGTAGAGTGACAAAGGGCAGAGATTTATTTCTTTAAGAATCAGCTGGTTAACTTAAGATGGACAGTAAAACACGTGGTGATTGTATGGCCTTGTATCCGTGCAGCCAGTTTGCTCAGCTTGGGCATACCGACCTGAGTGTAATGGTGGCAGGAAGCGTTGTACTTGCACTGACCCATGTGGTAGTGATAATTCTGAGCCTCCCGAAACCACAGGTCAACAACCTCAGAGACAGACAACGTCCCAGCTGGTGAGGCGTGATAATTCCAGCCAATCTCCCCTTCTTCTTCTTCTTCTTCTTCTTCTCTCTGAGCCCACCGTTCCTGTTCGTTCCTGTGGCAGCTGCCTGCCCTCAGCTGTGCCAGTCGGGCAAGGTTCTCACTCCATTCCTGCGAAGGGAAAAGAGCCCAGGGTAAGAGAGTAATTACACCATTCAGGTAACCGGCACGTTCCCATTGTTCGTGGCTTCCACCTTTCAGATAAGATGTTAAAACTGGGACCTTTATCTGTCCTGACAGTGAATCTCAAAGCACTAGTTCAAAGAGCTGTCTGGTGCCCTCGCCAATATTTGTCCCTCAACCAACATCACTAAACGAGACTTAGCTGTCCACGTCACATTGCTGCTTGTGGGAGCTTGCTGTGCATAAAATGGCTGCCATATTTCCGACACTCCAAGTGGACTTCATTGGCGGAGATTGTGAGAGGTGCTATATAAATGCAAGATTTTTCTTTCAGGCCAGGGGGCGTCAAAACCAGGAATGGGGATCCTTTGGGCGAGCAAGCCTTATGACTGCTCAATCATGTTCTTGAGTTTTCCATGCTGCGAGTGAAGCCTTTTTAAATATATATTATTGAAAGACCTTCTGCTTATTCCTCAAATATTGGCCTGGATCTTGTGGTTTGCAGCATTACGCTGACTTCTTATGAGCATTTGAGTGACAACGTGCAATATTTCGGGAACAAAAACAGAAATCGGCTGGAAAAGCTCAGCAGGTCTGGCAGCATTTATGAATTGAAATAACAGTTAATGTTTCGGGTCTGGTGACCTTTCCTCAGCAATATTTCGGGGTCTTTCTTGCTGACCTCTTTATGGTTCTGGTGGTGTATGCATGAGGAGGGCAGGTAATAGAGTGGGTCGTCCAGCAATCAGAGCAAAGAGCCCTCATTGAGACATGAAAACCCTGGAGGAGGTGAAACATAGCTTGGAGACCGTGACAAAGAAACTGTACTGCTCCAGGCCCACAAACTGTGCTGTAAAACCACTCATCCTCCAATTAGGGCTTTCCTCAGGCCTGATTCTCTAGCTGCTAAGGATTAAATCTATAATATTTAAGCTAGTCTCATTGGATCTTCAGTGGCTGAGTTGTAGTGTCCCTGTATCTGGTCCAGACAGCCTGTGTTCATGTCCCACCTGCTCTGGAGCAGTGTCACAATATGTCTGTACGGGTTGAATAAAGTATCTACAAATGGCTTGTAGAGGCTTGACAAAGGCTTTGTACAGCTCTACAGGTACATCTTCCATATTTTAACTCTATGTGGTTATGTTGGTGCCTGACTATCTTTGGAGAAGGGAGTATGCACCAATACTCTCAATGCCTTTAGTGAGAGGCAGTCAATGCAGGGGTTAGAGTGCTTTATTTCCTCCTCCAACACCACTCTAATTTAGCTCTCTCCCTCTTTCTCTACCCTCCCCTGCATCTGTTACTGTTGCACTGCCTCAGTGTCTTGTTAATTGTTACATTAATTAGTAACTGGGGTGATTTGATGCTGGTAAATAAATAAAAAAATCCAGAGGGGTGTAATAGCATTGCTGAATAGTGAAGATGAAGAAAAGAAAGAGAAAAAGTAAAGCTAGCCTCATTGGTGCTCCTGTCTCACAGTGACAGTGACCCTACCTCTAAAGTAGGAGACCTGGGTTCAAGTCCCACTGTGCCAGCAGTGTGCAGTAATATCTCTGAACAGGTTGATTAGAAAATATCTCTAATGTTATCCTTGTTTAAATGTCCACACAATCCCTTGAAGTAGATTCACTGCACTCCTTTTCTCCACCTCCAGTAGCTAAGAAGTAGGATCAAAATAGACTGGGTACAGTGCAAGAAACCATATGTAACTTCTGTCTACCTGTTGACTTTCTTCAAGACCTATTCAGCACATTCTAACCTATCCTTATAATTTCTTTGTCTTCAGATAATTATCCAATTCCTTTCTAAAGACCCATCTCTATCACAATCTCAAGACACTGCGTTCCAGATCCGAGTCAATCGCTGTGTAAACTTTCTTTCTTGTGTTTCCCCCATGTTATTTCGTAAATCTCCTTGGATTAACATCGTCTGGTTCTCAATGTTTCCGCCCAGTGGGACAGTTTCTCGCTATCTACTCTGTCCAAAAACTTCATGAGTTGGCACACCTCAATCAAATTATCCCTCAAGCTTCACCAACCCATCCACGTAACAGAAGTCTCTAAAGCCCATTTGGAACCATACACTGTCTGCAATACCTTCAGAGCCTTGCTCAGCTGTGGAGCTCAGAATTGGGTATAATAGTGCAGCTGAAGCTGAACTGATGTTTTCTGATATGTTCACAATAACTTCCTTGTTTAAGTACTCTATGTATCCAATTATCAAGCTCAGGATCCTGTAACCTTTAATTGTCACTTTCTCAGTCTTCTCTGCCACTTTCAATGATTAAAGCCAAAAAAAAATCCCAGTAATAAATCACTGTCCATTAAGCTTGGAAAATGTTAAGAAATTTATTGAATATCAAAGGAATAGGTTTCTCTCTCTCACGCTCAGGAAGCATACTTTCTGAGTTGACAAACACACAATAATGTAGGTTGTTATCTCTGCCAAGGTCAGACTCTAAAACAAGACCTTCTTATACCTGATAAGGGGAGTTCTCATGACCCACATGTAAATCAACGGTCACAGCCAAAGCAAAACAGCATGACCTAGCAAGCGATGAGCCACAAAATAACTTCACGGTCCTGATGGAAATGAGGGATTACTTTAAAAACCAGTCCCTTAGTAATGCACAACTGATTAGGTGATTGACTTAAGACATCCAGAATCAAGGTATATAAATGCAGAAACAAAAACAGAAATTGCTCAAGAAACACAGCAGGTCTGGCATCATTTGTGGAAAGAAAGCTGAGTTAACATTTTGAGTCCAGTAACCATTCTTCAGAAGCCATCTTCACATAAATGCAGCCTTGAGAAGAAAAGATCATTCTGGACAAGAAAGTGTTTCTTGAAGTGGACCAATACTGGTTCTCATCTAACATGTCGGTTAATCAAGAAAGCTTGGAACAGAGGAGAGCTCTATGAAATGATTCAGCCTGGCTTTGGCTTAACACTTTGATTTGGTCAGGAGTCATGAGAACAGAAGAGACTGCAATGTCCAGCTACAGAGGTCAGCTTTGTTCATCATTTTTTCTGATTCAAGACCAATAAATGGATCTGAGGAGACCTCTTCCCCAGCCATGGAGTTCAGTATCCCCCTGCTTCCCCCATCCAATCTGGGACTAGAGAAAAAAACTCACAAACTCACTAGTCATATGCCTTTCCTTGTCTATTTAGCTTATGTATCATGTCAAAGATATTGCTCCTTTGAAAACTTCTTTGTAATCACCTATGATTTTAATTCCTTCTTTTGAAAAACGGTGATTCCACAGCCAAAATGTAACAGTGGCTCCAGGATTAGGATCACTGTTCAGCTTGAAAGGTAATAGTCTTAGTCATACATCAACGGAGACATACCTAATGAAATACAGGAGTATCAACAGTATTGGTATTTAACTGGGAATGGCTGATAGAGAAAGCAGGCACGTCAGAGCTGATCAGTATTCTGAGGATTGTAGAAAGAAAAGTACATCAGAGATTGAAGAGAGTATCATTGATTGGCTTTCTAAAGTGGTTCAGAAAGGCAAAATTAAGCTGAAGGAGTCTGGGGTAAGTTGGCCAATGTTGTACATGTGTGCCTTATAGGTGAATAAAATATACAAAGGATTAAGGGAATGGGTAACTAAATTACAAAAGCAGAATGATGGTCAGAAGGAGAGCATTGCTGTTCAGAATAAGGAACATCCAACAGACAGCACATACCCAGAAGCACAGTCCTTACTTTTTCTGCTATGGTCAGTGGGTGCCTAGTGGATAAGTAGTCCAACTGCATGCCAGTAATGGATGTGAGTGTAGGTGTAAGGTGTGACACCTGAGTCACAAAGCCAGTTGGTAGCACGTTCCTTGTTTAGCTGCATATGTTCGGACAATGGGAATTGCTGTTGCATTTACTTCATAACAATGATGAGCAGTGATGGCTTCTGCAGTATTTCTATTACAAAATCCTGGCCACTGCTTGTATTGCAATTGTACAGGCTCCCTGCTTTTATTTAAACAGTGTGGGGATCAATCACTGTGTAACTGTTAAATGTTTATTCAGGGCACAAGTTAACTCAATTTGTAACTCTACAGGGTTTCTGTTACTCAAAGGTAGACTTTTTGCTACCTTGTGTACATTACACCCCAAACCTGTGCTTTGGTTAGGTGCATTCTAGCCAAATTTCTAGCCATTTAGATTCTAGCCAAATTTCATCTATATTATTACCAGTTATTACTCAGAAGTGAGGATGACTGACTTCCGGGAGTCTGGAGATAGCTGATGAAAGAAACCTGTTTAGCCAAACAATGGGGAGAACTCAGTATCACAGGGAATGATTGATACATTTAAAGTAAAAATTTGACAAGGTTGAGGGAGAAGAGACGTGAGGGTTATGATGGTAGATTTAGAAGCAACAGGATGGGAGGAGCTAAAACAGAGCACAAACAGTGTTATAGCCTGGCCATACCATAAATCATTTTTAAACTTATGTATGTAATCCCATTTTTCTCGGATTTGTATTTGATCATAGATGGCGAGAATCTCTAATGTTAACCGCGTTTCTCACTCAGCAGATGCTGTTTGATCTACCCAGCGCTTTCCAGCAGTTTCTGATTATCATATGCATTGGCTGAGTGGGACAGGCTCCTGGATAATAACGGTCATTGCAGACTTGCCTATGTCACCTGCTCTGTCACCTGAGAGAGAGGGAAATGCCTCTTTCATCAATGAAAAGTTTGCTGCACTTATATAGCGCCTCTCGAGACCTTGGAGCATTTCAAAGTGCTTCACAGCCGGCATTTCAGTGTTACAGCCACCGTTGTAACGCGGGGAAAGTGGTAGCCAGTTAGTGCACAGCAAGCTCCCACAAACAGCACTTTATTAATGATTCTGTGATGAGAGGTTGGACAAGGGATAAATATTGGCCAGGGCAAGAGGGAGGACTCTGCTATTTTATGAATGGTGCCAACACACAACCTTTTACATCCACCTGGGGGAGGGCAGAGTCTCAACT